GGTCTTTAATGCTTCACCCCAGAGAGATTCTGGTAAGGTAGAATGACTAATCATACTTCTCACCATGTCCTTAAGCGTTCTGTTTCGTCTCTCAACAACACTATTCATAGTAGACGAACCCGGCATAGTGTACTGTGGGACGATATCGTATTCCTCTAGGAATTTAGCAAATGGTCCTGGACGTTGTTCACCTGAACAGTCATATCTGCCATAGTATTCACCCACACGATCAGATCTGACGTTTTTAATCCTTTTGCCGAGTTGGTTCTCAACTTCGGCTTTATAGTTTTTGAACATATCCAATGACTGTGATTTTTTATGAATGAGATATATGTAGTAATATCTAGAAAAGTCGTCTATGAACATTATAAAATATTGTTGACCATTCCAAGAACTCGTAGGGAATGGTCCACAAATATCCGTATGTATAAGTTCTAAGACGTCTGAAATCCTATTGACTTGAAATCTCCTTTTATTGGTTTGTTTTCCCTTTATACAGTTGACACAGAAATCATAATCTATGAAGTCGAGATGGTCGAAAATCTCGTCAGACACAAGTCACTCAATTATCCTTTTTGGAGATGTGACCTAATCTCTTGTACCACAACGAGGCATAAGTCTCGTCGTTTAATTTTTACTTTACACCTCGAGTACTTACATGCAGAGATTCATTAAAAGAAGCAACTGTATCAATTGAATAAATATTATCGTAGCCTGATAAAGAACCGGAACCAATCAATTTTGAATCATGAAATAAACTAAATTTTCTATTTCCAAATGAACAAATATAACCAAATTTGTCCAAAACAGAAATAAAAATCAAATTCCGTCTAAAAGACGGTACAATAAATGTCTCAACAAGATCCAAATAAAATCCAGTCTTTAACAATAATCTAAAGTTTCCTATTGCCTCTACTTCCACCTTCTTACCGTCACCAGCATAGATGTATCTTTTATCATCACTTGATTTTTGGCAACTCAGGCAACTCTGCATAGAGATACTGATGTGAGTTGTTACACCAGAATCTATCCACCATGTATGTTTAGGTACCAAAGTTAAATTAACCTCAGAACAAACCAAATGAAGAAAAATACCTTTCTTTACATGCCATGCGTGGTAATTGGTGTCATTCTTCTTCTTATGACCTACAGCTCCACAGAAGAAACAACCACTTTCAGTCGGTTCCTTATGCTGTTTCTTTTGCGGTGTTGTACCCGCAGCTTCCTTATTAATCTTCCTTTTCTTGTTCATTTTATCCTTAGAGGTGGTGGCCAAATGAGCACTATCT